TCTATCCGTCTATGGGATGTCAAAACAGGATAATAAAAAGCCTAATTAGATGGTCATGATGAATTTGTAATGTCAGTCTGTTTCTCTCCTGATGGGAATACATTAGCTTCTAGTAGTAGTGATTAGTCTATCCGTCTCTGGGATGTCAAAACAGGATAATAAAAAGCCTAATTAGATGGTCATGATGAAGTTGTAATGTCAGTCTGTTTCTCTCCTGATGGGAATACATTAGCTTCTAGTAGTAGAGATTAGTCTATCCGTCTATGGGATGTCAAAACAGGATAATAAAAAGCCAAATTAGATGGTCATACTAGTATTGTCTATTCAGTCTGTTTCTCTCCTGATGGAAATACATTAGTTTCTGGTAGTTGGGATAACTCTATCCGTCTATGGGATGTAAAAACAGGATAATAAAAAGCCAAATTAGATGGTCATACTAGTATTGTCTATTCAGTCTGTTTCTCTCCTGATGGAAATACATTATCTTCTGGTAGTGTAGATAAGTCTATCCGTCTATGGGATGTAAAGACAGGATAAGAAATTAAATCCTCTGATAAAAACTACAAAGATATTCTTGCATAATTAAAGATTCCACTCTAACAAAATTGTCCATTATAAGAAGGTAATATTATTTTTTTTAATATTTTTAGCCTCCAATTACATCACTACACTTCTTATATCCTAATAGGCCATATTTTAAGCTTAAGGAGCACTAATTTTGAGAGGAGAGTTTATAAATCAATCAGGTATAGATTTAAAGACATTGTTTAAATAAAAAGGAAGTTGCTTTTTAGAAGACTATGAATGAACATGATTAATCATTACCAAACTTACAATTATAATTCCAAACAATATCTAATATTTTTTTATTTCTATCTTTATTAGTTTACTCTTAATCATCACTTCTAAAGCTAGGCAAGATCTAATTTTACAAAGGTTTTTCCATTTTATACACTTTATTCATTTTAATATTATTACAATATAAGATCAGGTGTGTAGATTATTTATTTAAATATCATAAAAATTTTTTTTCAATTATTAATTGATAAAGATTTAAATTAGAAATGATACTACTTCTAATTAATAATCTAAACAGGAAACAGTAGATGAAGAGTTTAAAATAAAGATCGAAATAATTACTTAAAGAAAACAAATTTAACAAAAATTCTTTTATATATCATCTATAATATTATATGATAGATTACTTAATTTATTACTGTTTAAAAGTAGGATTAATCTTAAAAATTATTATTAAGGGGTTCATATTTCAATCTTAAAACACTTAGCTTAAAAATTAAAGATATACTAGAAAATTAATGAATTATTAATAGAACTAAATTTTTGTATAGATTAAAATAGTTGCATAAAATAAAAATATTCTATATTATTAAGAAATTAAGCAATGCGTTTGTTGAAATGAATTCTCAAGAGCATCATTGACAATCAATTCCAAATCTACAAAAAGTCCTAACTTCTATTTTTTTATCGATTTTGCAGTATATAACTTCAAGTTAGAGTAATAGAAATTCATTATTAAAAATAAAAAAGAAGATGCAAGCCCATTTTTAAGAGAAGGAAGCTCTAGCTAACATTTTTGGTCATATAAAAGATGTAGATGAGCAAATTTTTTGTGTATTATTAGAAAAATTAAGAAAGTAAAAAGTTTAAGACATCATTGGATATCTTTCAGATAACGGGACTCAAAGTCAATTAGAATCATGTATCTTACAAAAAGGAGAGAATATCACCCAGGCTGATAAAGAATAGAAATTTTCTCTTATTGGAAATGACACGATATAAATTACAGATGTCTTAAAAAAATTAAAAGATCATGACTTCAACAACAAAGAATTTTCCTCTGAAGAAAATAAAGAATCTACATTATTTCTAATTAATCGCATCAAAGATAATAGAAGGATCATTGAATTTCTCTTATTTTTAGTTTACATCACATCTATAGATAACACTTTGATATAATGCGGATCTAATTCATTATATATATTAGTTGAGATGAAGGTGGACCTTAGAAACAAAAATTATG